CACTTAAAGTGCTAACTACGCAAAGCGGTGTGGATCTTAAGCCAGTTACAAGCTACATATGACTCTCTAAATCATGGGAAATCCCTGACTGTTCCGACTGCCCTTTACTTGGTTGGTTTCCCATAGTTTTTCTTCAAAAAAATTTTGATAATTAAATTATAAATGTTGGACTGTCAAAATCCAAAAAATTCAATTTATTAAGTTTTGAATTTTATAAGGTAATAAATGTTATTGAGTCTATAAGGTAACACATGCCCAACTAGCTTGCCTGATTTCAACTCGGAACAGTTTTTTGTGCGAGAAAAAAGTCCGTTTACCCCCTCCGACAAAACTTAGAATAAAATCGATTTAAAATGATTTTTTATAGAGGTTATAAGAAATATGATAGTCGATTGTATAAAAGCCAATTGCTTAAGTAAACCAATTTGCAACAGACTTTAACTTATAACTTATTACGATTTAGATAGAATTTCGCAAGAAACCAAAAAGAAAAAATTGAACAAAATCGTATATTATTATAACGTTTGTACCAAAATGTGAGAAAAATCTGCAATCAACAATTATCTCTGTCCAGGGGCAGCTCTAGGATTTTCCCGGGGGGGGGGGGAGGAGGGATTCTCAAAAAAACTCGAAAATTTAGTCGATTTTTTTAGGTCGACTAAATTGATTTCTAAGGTCTCCAAAATCACTATAAAGACCCAATTTTGAGCAAATGTTCTGCGCCGCAGGCAAGTTTTTGAAAAAAAAAACAGAGCAAAAAGGCGTTTTAGGCTTTTTTTGGAAAAATTTGACCAAAAAATTGCTTTTTTTTTCGGCACGCGCTCTCCCCTCAAAATTAAAATATTTTGATGCCAAAAGCGCCTTTAAAAAATTTCAGGGTCAGTCGGCCAAAAACGATTATCTCAAAATAGTACAAAGGGGGACAATTTGGGTCGGCATGGGGTCGAATCCCTGAGAGATGTCCACCCCCCGTCCCTCCCCTTAAATCAACTGGTGTCTCTGTCAGTTTTAGGGTCAGCTACAGCCCTTTGAGGAGATTTGTTTACCGCAAACCAAAAAATTTCCGCGGTGATATAAAAAATAAGCAAAGTTTCATCAAGAGTCATTTTAAGATCAGAATTTTTAGTGGACATTTAAA